GCGGCCATTTTGGACTCCGGAAGCACCCGAACCTCGATAAACTACTAGAAGGTTTTATTTGTACCGTGCGGTAAGGACGGCCAGCCCTCGATAAACAAATTTCATCAAAATCAGATGACAATTGTGACCTCCAAAGGGTCCACAACCCTGATACACAATACTTTAACACTATTTGCGAACGTGGGGCGCCCATTTTGTCCTTCAGTTTCGGTCCGATTTTTACGAAATTTAAACTCAACCATCCTTAGCGTGTAACGGTGATATATTGAAACGTTTTTTTAAATCAGATAAAAATTGTGACCTCTATGGGGGTCCACAAGCTAAAAAGGCGATTTTTCATACAATCAGGGGCCATAATTCAGGAAGTTATGCTTTGATATGCGTGAATATCGAAAGTAACCGAGATCTGTGGGTTATAAACATGCATTTCAAGTTTCATCAAAATCAGATGAAAATTGTGACATCCAGAGGGTCCACAGCCCTGATACGCAATATTTTGACACTCTTTGCGAACGAGGGGCGGTCATTTTGACCGTCAGTTCCGTTCCCATTTTTACGAAATTCGAGCTCAACCATCCATAGGGTGTAATGGTGATATATTCACACGGTTTCTTTAAATCGGATAAAAATTGTGACCTCTATTCGGTTCACAAGCTAAAAACGAGATTTTTCGTACAATCAGGGGCCATAATTCAAGAAGTTATGGTCCGATATGCGCGAATATCGACAGGAACCGAGATCTGTTGGTCATAAACATACATTCCAAGTTTAAACCAAATCGGAAAAAAATTCTGACCTCTACAGTGTTCACAAGCTAAAAACGCGATTTTTCGTTCAATCAGGGGCCATAATCCATGAATTTACGGTCCGATACATGCCAATATCGAAATGAAACTAGATCTTGGGGAGATAAACCTATATTTCAAGTTTCGTTGAAATCGGATAAGAATTGTGACCTGTAGAGTGTCAGGGGCGACGAAAATATACGTCCACATGAAAATGTGGGCGTATAAAAACCAGATGAGCTTTCTTTGCAGCTCTCCGCCCTGCATCATGAAAATGTGGGCGTATAAAAACCAGATGAGCTTTCTTTGCAGCCCTCCGCCCTGCATCATTGACAAAAAACAAATGAACTTTCTCGGCCAACACCGGGAGCGACCCCGCGACCTCCAAGCTAGTGAGGTAGCGTCTTAGTCTTACCTAGATAAGCTTGTGAACCCAATGTTTAATACCCCAAAACATATGTTAAAAACTATTGCTTCTATCGGGTTCACATGTTTTTCGTAATGGGAATAAGGTTTGGGGATTGGGTCTCATTAACCCCAATGCTTCACACCAATATATGAAGAAAAGAACTGATTTAAAGTGTATCCTCATTCGTGTTCAGGTTTTCAGAATAGGGGGAGATGGAACCCCGGGACTCGATTCATTCCTTTATGTCACCAATGCTTCATAGAGTCCCCACTCCTCACATGGTCCCCATTACGAAAACCTTGTGAACACGAGGTCTGTCAATGAATCAAGTGGCGTTATTTCAATTGGCGGCTTCTCTCCGGGTCCACCTGTTTCCTACCACTGCTAAATATCCCTACGCGCAAGAAAATTATTGAAATAAAATTGAACCATATGTTAATCCCAAAATAACCTAGTTTGTTTCGCAGTTCCAAGGTTACTGCCTCAAGCCCGACCGCATATCGATAACCATAGAGATTACGATTGTTTTTTTAACATATTTTTTTTCTTCAAATTCGGTGTTTGGAGCATTCGGGTCATTAGTCGACGTGTTAAATCGGTGTATTCCCACGAAGGCGCAGTTACAGAGCGTGACCAAAATTAATCCTTCCCACGAAGGCGCAGATATCGACTTGTCGGCTTTCGTGTGAAGAGAGGCATGTTGCTATTAGGACCCAATTAACGGTGTTAAAGATTTTATGAATTTATGTTCACTCTGAATTTTATTCACCAATTGGCAACTAATGATTAAAATGATCAAATTATCCAAGTATTCAATATGAATCTTAATTGGGAGACGAACACAGAATGTAGGTCTACAAGTGCAATGTATAGAGAAGATGAAGAAATACAGAATGTGGTACGGAGGTTTGCAGCTCTACCGTTGGTACCAGTAGGAAGGGTAGGTGTATTATATTATGTCTTGCTGTATTGACCTTCGACTTCTCGGGGGTTAATTTGCAACTCATCAGTGGGACTACTACGACACAGAGGAGCACGGAACGAACAAGACTCTGGAAGGATGGCATGCAAGATTCAAGAAGCTACTTGAAAAAGCCCATCCGAATGTTTTTGAAATGATCACATTTTTACAACAAGAACAAAATATTAATGAGATTAGAACCGTTTAGTATGCTGGGGGACAGGAACCATTAAGGGGGAGATATAAATATGCCAACTCCAGGAATTAAATGGAAGACACGAGGAAGAGGAATTGACTTTAGTCGATTATTTAGACAGGGTGTCTTATTTGGCGAAATTAAATTAATTTTTGTTATAGTGTAGTTATGTTTTTATTTCTTATGCCAAAAATGATGCTAAAATGTTGGTTAATTAGTTACATTGGGGATCATGAAAGTGTACATTCTTATCATAACAATCTACAACACCACTGTTACGTTTTTAATCCATTTTAATCCCTAGGAGCTGGATTCCCACAAAGTCGTCGAAAACGACCTAGTTTAATCCGTTACGGTCAATAACTGCGCCTTCGTGGGAATAAACCGTTAAATCGTAAATCGATTAATTCATTATTTCGTTTAAACGAATTAATTATTTCGTTAAAACGAATTAATATTTAGTTAAAACGAATTAATTATTTCGTTATTAATTCGTTTTAACTAAAAAATAATTTTAATTATTTCGTTGTAACGAAATATTTATTTCGTTATAACGAAATAACTAATTCGTTTAATCAAACTAATTAATTCGTTTAATCAAACTAATTAATTCGATTAAACAAATGAATATTTCGTTAAACGAATGAATATTACATTTTTAGACCAACCAAAGTAATCTTCGTAGAGTTTTAAAAATATCGACTCTTGAAATGACTGTGTAATTCTTTCGATCCCGAAATGGGGGCTTTTGTGATACATTACTGCGTACACACAAAAACCCCCCAAAACATATTCGTATTCAGGAAAATAACAGTCGAAATCAATATCTTTTCCGCACAAAGTCAGACAATTTTAATTTTAGACCGTTCTTATTCCAAGAGATAATTTTGATAAATGCATTTGTTTTGACAAATGTTATTTGCCAATTTGGTTTAAGTTGACAAAGTGTCTTGTAGTTTGCTATTTATTATTTTCATCCAATGTAATAATTTCGTTTGTTGCAAGGTCAAATGTGAACACCTTCTGACCAATGATCAGTTTATCGTATTTCAGATAAGCTGTCACTGAGTCGTTGTTTTCCTTCGCTTCGATGAGTTTGGGAATAAGCGCCTTTCTTATATTTCGTATTTGTGGTGTGAAATCTTCGGTTACTTTTAGGCCACTGTTAACTGTTCTTTCTGGCTTGCTTCAATATCGAAAAGAACCGAGATCTTTTGGATATGAATATATATTTCAAGTGTCATCAAAATCGGATAAAAATTGTGACCTTTAGAGGGTCCACAAACTTGGTATTACATGACTTTACACTGCATAGTTTCGGTCCGATTTTCATTAAATTCGAACTCAACAGTAATTATGTTGTAACGGTTATATATATAATATGTACGGTTTTTGAAATTAAAATTTGTGACCTCTAGTGGGGCCATAAGCGAAAAACGCGATTTTTCGTATAGCAAGGGGCTATAATCCAGGATGTTATAGTGAAATATACAGTCCTATATTTGAAGTTTCTTCAAAATCAGATAAAAATTGTGGCCCATAGACTACCCACAAGCAAAATGTGGACGGACGAACAGGAGCGATAACATAATACATCCACATGATGAGGGGGTGGGGCGTAATGACATACTCCTCGCAGTGTTTCGTTTGATTAGAGCTAATCCCACTTAACACTGCTGTAATGGAAGCAAATTTCTGTTCCAAATTATGACTGGTCAATAGTCCAATTAACAACCAATAACAAATTGCCTGCTAATATCATTCGGCTTTAAACAGGGCTCCAAATTGGACCAAATATGTTTACATAACGTTACGTCATGACTCACGAAATAATTTATAATTATAACGCCCAATTAACCAGTGCACAGCAGAATATTGCAGAAAAACTAATTGCGTGACAAACGAGGCTACTACAATGCTACAATTATAAACAATACTATTTAATACTGTTTGGAGACGAACAATACTTTGACCGTTTTTAATACCTTAAATCACTGTCCAAAGTTTTAGGGAAGACCCCAGATAAAACGAAGGGCTGTCATGTTGCTGTGCTTAGGAGAGATTTGATTGAACGGAATAAAAGACTCACTCCCCCAAAAGCTCAAGTATCAGCAGAAGCCAATCTATATAGCAATGGCCAGGGAGGCATTTCTCGGGCTATTGCTTCAGGAATATGTGAAATGTGGGCGTATAAAAAGTGTATTGTGTTTGGGTAGGCCGTTTTGCTTTACTGGGGCGTGGAATAACTTTTAATACTATATAAATTAAAATAAACAAATTGGTTAGCTATATTTAGTTATATAATAAATTAGTTAGCTATTTTAAGTTGATCTATTGGGGAGTTAGCATCTTCGACATCTGGGGAAGCGGCACGCCCATCTAACTGTTCTGCTCTAGCAGGATCAGTTCCCTTTTCTCTGGATAATCCCCAGCTTCCACCAGATCTCGTAGCAGATTCGTCTTTATTCTTACCTTGGTCGGCTATCACCCTTTCTTCTGGAGTAAGATGAAGGTCAGTGATAATTCGTGATCTGTTTTCGCGATTTGTCATTGGATGGCACGCTGATGAAGGAACTAGTTCGTTAGATTTTGAATGAGGTGCATCAATTCTTAGCCATATATGTGTCAAAATTGCTGGAATTTGCAAACGTTTTTTTACATTGACTTCTAGAATTTTGTGAATCAAATCTTTACATTCATGTGAAATTTTCTTTGATTTTGAAAACCCGACCTTCCTCTCGAGCTGATCTCTTATCATTCGTTTTATATTGGAATCGTCATACGGCATGGATGCACACACCTGAAAAATACACTGTCCTTCTCATTTTCCGTATCCAAAAAATTTTAAACAATTATACATGAAAAGAAGAAAGTCAATCATTTTAACATCATCCGATTTTATGTCAGTTGATGTGAATCTATATCAGTTTCAATTACAATAACGAAAATAAAAAGAACGTCCCAGGATGGACAACACGTGTAAGCATAAATATAAGAAGTGTAGCATCAATAATGTAAGAATGGTGCAAAACTCGAAAAGCTAAAGCCATAAATGGCTGACGATCGATAGGAATCTTACTCTTATACATGTAAGTAGTTGTGGAACCTATGGTAATTGAAGCCTCTGAAGGTTAAGTAACATAGTGGCATTTACGTTAAAATGAGACCGCTAGAAATGGTTGAAAATCAATAGACCTTTCCCTCGTATATGTATATAGCGGAACAAACAGTGAGTTTGTGGGATATTTATAGCAATAGCATCCTGTGTGTCTTCCTCATAATAACTATGTAATCTATACGTATTAAAAAATACCGAACGATTATAAATGGGCATACATGTATATATCATTCCATGAATACCACAAATTGTTGAAAATCCACTAGGATCTGAATATTTTAGCCTTTACTAAAGTGATAACAAGGTTTCATATCAAGGGGTATAGTTCTGGAAGTTAATGTCAAATATATATAATGAAACAAAATATACAATGAAACAAAATATACAATGACTTTTTTTGAAATGATAACCACGCAAAGCGGGAAAATACGCCCACACAACATCTTTGTCTCAACTGCAGCTTATCAGAAAGGAAAACTTGTCTGTTGAACAAATTTGATGACTCCGGAACTTGAAGTCATAGAATGCTTAATATCGATAGGGTTCATCCTCTCATGACCCGAATGGTTCCCACCAAATTTGAAAGAAATCCGTTAAATACTATAGTCTTTATCACGTTTCACAAGGTTTTCATCAAGGCGGTTGGGGGGGGGGGAGAGGGTATCTCAGAAATAAGCAGTAGAACTCTAAATATCATGACCACAATGCTTCACACCAAATATGAAAAGAATCCGTCGAAAACTGTAGCCTATATCGCATTCGCGAGGGTTTTTAGCAAAGGGCGGGCACCCCCAAAACTCTGAAAATCGATAGGGTTCGTAGTCTCATGAGCACAATGCTTCACGCCAAATTTGAAAAGAATCCGTCGAAAAGTGTAGCTTCTATCACGTTCACAAGCCAATTAATTGTTCACGGACCGACGGACAGCATGACGACATTATACGACCAAATGTTGGCTTAAAAAATTGGATAACAATTGAGTTAACAAGGCTTTATTTGAAAGACATAGCTCAGACAGGTAACACTACAAATTATTAAATAGCAGAACAATCCGATAACAAGCGGTTGCCCACATTTTGTAAATGGCAGACGGAGAACAAGAAAAGCCGATAGAGCTCATCCTTCCATGAACCCAATGCTTTACAACAAATTACCGACAGGGTTCGCCCTGTCGTGACCACAATCCGTCAAACCAAGTTTGAAAAAATAATCTGTTAAAAACAATAGGCTGTATCACGTACACAAGGCTGTCGTAAAAGGGGGCTTAACACGGGAACGGAAAGTTCGATGCGCACCAAAATCATTGGAGACCGTTTGATCCTGAACATAAATTTTAGGATGCACTTGAACACACAACAATTGTGGGCTGTAGAAGATCTACATGTACGTACATTTATTTCATAATTTGCGTAAAAGACGTAGGGCCATTACCGAAAATCGAACTACGAACACCGGGATCGAACGGGGATACTCACTGATTTACTGCCGGGCTGAACGCAATGATATACGATGACATACTATCGATGAAACTTAAGTTTCCATTTTCTATCGATAACTATCGATGTACATTTTCTCTTTTTTATCAGTACAATAACATACATAATAACACAATAGAACATTCTTGTATAAAAATAGTTTACCATGATATAAAGGATAACGCCCATACTCCAAACATCGTGTAGAGGTATATGGTAAGTTATGCCTTGCAAAATTTCTGGAGCTGCGTAAGCTGCACTACCACAAAAAGTTCTGCTCATATCTCCCGAGTCAAAGAATCGAGAGAATCCGAAATCGGAAAGTTTGATATTGTTTGAATTATCTAACAGTAAATTTTCACACTTCAAATCTCTGAAACACCAAAAAAAAAAATGGGGTTACATTTTCAAATTTTTATTGTTGCCTATGTAAACAATCACTCAATTCAAATTTTACTCAATCGTCAACCAGTCCTTTCGTTACATATAAACTGATTGTGGACTGGTCGTGGGTCATTTACCAGCAACTGTGAACAGAGATAATCCAGAACACAGATAGTGAAATCGTGTTGCGGTTTGACAAGTAGTTACATGGGTAGGTACTTATTTTATTTTTTTTATTCTAAGTAAACCAATGTTTGGTTGTGTAATACTGGAGAAATAAACTTTCTAATTTTGCCAATATAAACACTGGCTTCCATTATTCATGTTAGAATCAAATATTGCGCAGACATTACGCGCTGATTTTAATAGGGATATTAGAGGGGGGGGGGGCATATTGAAATTGAATTGTTGATATTAACTTTGGGTAATTGAGTTTTCAAGCCAATAAATATGGAGGGGTATTAGGTTCAAATGCGATCTGCAGTAGAAAGTAGAAAATCAAAAGCAAAAGAGAAAATTCTTATCCAACTTTTCAACTTTAAGTCGTCAGTATTCTACTTTCAGCAACAGAATGTTTACTTTCAATAATTAACTTTTGACATCAAATTTCAGCTTAAGATTTTTTACATGAGATTTTCTCCCGCAGATTTTCTCCGTGCATATTACGGAAATAAATTTGATACGCCCACATTTTGCAAGAGATGGATAGAGAACAAGCTCAAATAAAGTGATTTTTCGGACAATCAGGGGTCATAATTCAGGAAGTTACGGTCCAATACATGCCAGTACATACTTTTACACTATATTACTTACAGGGGGGTTGGGTGGCTGAATGGTTAGCACGTGATCGTTGTATCATATGGTCTGTCATTGAGTCAACTGGCGTGGTTTCGATTCCCCGGTTGTAGTACGTGGTGCGTGACAAGGAGTATGGTCGCCTGTCAAACCCCGTGGGTTTTCTCCGGGTTCTCCGGTTTCCTCCCATAGTTATAAAGACCCCTACGCGCAAGCGAATTATTGATATAAAATCGAACCATGTGTTAATCCTGAAATGATCTAGTTTGTGTCGAGTGGACGTTAAACTCCATTTCTCTCTCTTTCTATTTATTTACGTGGAGTGGCCATTTTGTCGGACAGTTTCGATCCGATGTTCACGAATTTCGAACTCAACCGTCTTTATGGTGTAACGGTGATATATTTAAAAGTGATTTTTAAAGTCAGATGAAGAAATGTGTCCTCTAGAGAGTCCACAACCTTGGTATTACATACTTTTACACTATTTGCGTACGAGGAGCGGGAAATTTGTCGGGTAGTTTTAGTTAAAAACTGATTTACCATTTTAATTTAGTCTGTCATGCACATGCTGCCAAAGGCTCAGTTTTAACCAGCGGTTGCCATGCAAGATACGCCCACATTTTGCAAGAGATGGATAGAGAACAAGCTTAAAACACAGCGAATTTTCGTACAATAAGGCGCTATAATACAGTAATACCGACAGGAACCGAGATCTTTGGGATATAAACATACATTTTAAGTTTCGTCAAAATCGGACAGAAATTGTGACCTCTGGAGGGTCCACAACCTTCGTATAAACACTTTTAAACTATTTGCGTACAAGGAGTGGCCATTTTGTCCGACACTTTCGTTTCGATTTTTCAAATTATGGTGTAACAGTGATATATTTAATCGGTTTTTGAAATCTGATAACAATTGTGACCTCTAGAGCGTCCACAAGCTAAAAATGTGATTTTTCTTACAATCAGAGGCCATAATCCAGGAAGATATGGTCCGATATGCGCGAATATCTACAGGAACCGAAATCTTTGGGATATAAAGATATATTCTAAGTTTCATCAAAATCGGAAAAAAAATTGTGACCTCTAGATGGTCCACAACCTTGGTATTATATACTTTTGCACTATTTGCATACGGGGAGGGGTCATTTTGTTGGTTAGTTTCCGTCCAATTTTCACAAAATTCGAAATCAACTTTCATTATTATTTATTATCATTATTATTACAGCATATTTATAGTGGCCCCTTTCACATCACGTGAGAATATAATCGTTAAACCAAAATTATGGACGTGTTAAAAGTCGTATACAGAATCAGTTAAAAGCTTGTTTAAATAAGTGTGTTTTAAGTTGGTTTTTTTAAAAAGAATATAGAGACGTATATCATCTTAAACTAGTAATGGAATAAAAATTGTGACCTTTAGAGGGAGAGGGTTCACAGGTCAAAAACACGATTTTTCGTCCAATTCAGGAAGTTACGGTCCGACATGCGCGAATATCGAAAGAAACCGAGATCTTTTGGAATATAAAATATATTTTATTTATCCAAATGGGATCAAAGTTGTGACCTTTAGGGGGGCCACAACCTTGGTATTACATAACATAGTTTTACACTATTTTCGTACGAGGAGCAGCCATTTTGTCGATTTTTCGTACAATCAGGGGTCCGATATGCGCGAATGTCGAAAGAAACCGAGATCTTTGGGATATAAACATATATTTTAAGTTTCATCAAAATCGGATAAAAACTGTGACCTCTAGAGGGCCCCAACGTTGGTATTACATACTTTTTACACTATTTGCGTACATTGAGCGACAATTTTGTCAGGCAGTTTCGGTCAGATTTTCACAAAGTAACGGTATGATATGCGGCAAGATCGTTCATAAAAATCGGAGTTAAAAACGTGTTTCTTCGTACAATCAGGGGCCATAATTCATGAAATCACAGTCAAATACATTCCAATACCGAAAGGAACCGAGATCTAAGGGATATAAACATATAGTTTAAGTTTAATTAAAATTGGCCAAAAATTGAGCAACTGCAGTGGATCATCTCACAGAATAGCATGAGCGAACAGACTGAAGCCTACGACAGAGTTTTAACAGACCTACTAAACGATCATGCCCCACTTCTAACCAAAACCATCGCCATGTGACCCAACACAAAATGGTACAATGATGAAATCCGTCAATCAAAAAGATTACGTCGTAAGGCAGAGAAGAAGTGGGCAAAATCAACGCTCTGCTCGATCAAACACCAATAACCTCATCGCAGCATCGGAAAAACAACACTTTCAACAACAGCTGAAGGACAACAAACGGAATACTAAAGCAATCTTCAAAATTACGAATAAACTTTTGCAGTCCATTCACTCATCCAACCTTCCGTCTGGCTAGACCACTGACATTTTCTAATTTCTTCGATAAAAAGGTATCTTCTATTAGAGATCAACTTGATAATGATCAACTAGGCTTTAACCAACCTGACGAAACAATTACTGGGCGCTTGCTTAATCACTTGAAACCTGTTTCTGAAGCTAAAATAAAGAAACTGATTTCTTCTTCGTCACCCAAATCCCGCTCCTTAGATCCTATTCCAACCTGGCTACTCAAGAAATGTTTAGATGATTTACTACGTATGATTACATCGATCGTCAATACATCACTATTAACATCAGAAGTCTCACCATCCCTAAAGGCTGTCTACACTAGTTAACCCACTTCTGAAAAACCAACACTTGACCCTAACATAGACATGTCTCCAATCTGCCATTTATTTCAAAATTGGTTGAAAAGGTTGTAGCTGAACAGTTGTGTCATCATCTAGAAGAAAATTGTCTAGGGGCTAAATTCCAGTCAGCCTATCGAAAATGTCACAGCACGTAATCCGTATTAGTGCGTATATACAATACTGTCGTTTCCTCTACTGACAACAACAGCACCATTGCCCTAGTCCTGTTGGATTTGAGCGCAGCGTTCGACACGATTGATCAGTCGATGGGTGCTATTCAAACGCCTATCATCCAGACTCGGTGCTAATGGTGCTGCACTAGACTGGTGCCAGTCCTATCTTACTGGTAGTAAGCAAGAGGTTATCGTTGACAGCATAAGAACTAAGCCAAAATGTCTTCGCTACGGCGTGCCTCAGGGATTAGTGCTCAGCCCACTGCTATTTCCTTCCTACACCACACCATTTGCCGACATAATGCGACGCCACGATCTTCACCACCACATGTACGGAGATGACACCCAACTCTATGTGGAGGTAGATGCAACAACAAAACCCTAAAGAAATTAGAGGCGCGCATAGAAGATATTCGTAACTGGATGAAGTCTAACTTCCTCAACCTCAATGATCACAAATGGGGGGGGGGGGCTATCTTTGCACATCTCTGTGCTCGCTGGTGATGTACAATAATCTTGGAGTGCTCTTGAATGAACATTTGAAATTGAAACGACATGTTTCTAGCATCTGCAAGAAAGCGAACTTCCATCTTTATAGGATCGGCAGAATCAGAATCATTTTGGACACTGATAGCACAAAATTGCTCACCAATGCCTTCGTGACTAGACTATTCAAATTCACTTCTTTACGGTTTACCATCATATCTCATCCACCAACTACAGTCTATTCAAAATAAAGCTGTCCGAATTATCACAAGAACCAACATTAGAGAACACATAACCCCAATCCGTGCAGATCTACACTGGCTACCTATAAATTATAGAATATGTTTCAAAATCGGCAATACTATATACCGGAATACACCGGAAAACAACCGGGAAACAACCGGAAAACACCATTTTATACTGAATACCGGAAAACACCGGAAAAACACTAAATACCGGAAAACATCCTAAATACCGGAAAACACCCTAAATTGGTAACCCGGAGCCTGGTCCTCTGTGTGCGGTTTTGGACCAAGTGAGCGCCGATGAAGGAAATCAAGGTCATTACGATGTTCGTTTTACAAATAGCCGCCCAACCCCTTCAGATCAAAGGATGCAAGTTCTTACACAGTGCAGCATAATTTGTGCAAAAGAAGACATCTCGAATATCGATTGTCGGAAAAAACATTTTCTCGGGGACATTTTTTTCCGAATACGCATTCGGTGTAAGTCTTCAGCCACCAGGAAGTGGTTAACATAGTAATGTTTTATTACAATAGTAGTACATGAAACAAATTGGTTGCCTGAGGTTCTCGGCTAGAGTCCTCTATTTCACAAACAAAAACAACAATTGCTTACTTGAAAATTTATCGATCAACCCTTTTCACAGACGTCCAGCTTACCACTTCCCGTAAATGCAGTAAGTTAGAATATGTAGTTTTCTCATGGACAATTGGGCGAAAGTTGGGGGTTTCTCGAGGAAAACTGGTCAACAAGTTGGGGAAAAAAGCTCGAAAAGTAATCCAGAAAAAAATCCTGTGTGCGGCCCTCGGAATATGATGGAATATGTTGAATATTATTATGGTTCAAGTGATTATATTTGACCCTGGAATGAAAGTAAGCTCAGAAACAAGTAGATTTTTAGCCCTTCCAACGAGATGGATAGCTCTTGGAAAGGATAGACACTTTTCAGATTACAGCCTGTCCGAGAATTGCGTGGCATCCATTTCGTTTGGTGATTAGGACACATAGCGGTTAAACCTGGAACTTCAACTCGAACTATTCAGAGATTTATTAACTCGCTTTTGATGATACTTGCTGTTTTATGATGCGATTTTTTGTTACCTAGGGAGGAGTTGGCCTAATCGTGCCTTCCACTAATTCGTACAACCCTGATGCCAGCGTTACTACTAAGAATCAGGAGACCGGCGCAACCGGCATATAACGGGGCCTTCAGAGGGCTGTGTTTAATCTACTGAAATACTGAAACACTGAAATCTACTGAAATTTACTGAAAACTAAAATTAAAATAGAAATAAAATATGGTCAATGATGGAGGTAGACTGATTGCGTCTTTTAAAACATTCAAAACATAATAGGCATCAACAAAATTTTGGAGAGAAAAAAATCGGAATTTTTTAAAAAAAATTTATGGGGGGGGGGGGCTATTTGTAAAACGAACATCGTAATGACCTTGACCTTCCTTCATCGGCGCTCAATTGGTCCAAAACCGCACACAGAGGACCAGGCTCTGGGTTACCTATTTAGGGTGTTTTCCGGTATTGAGGATGTTTTCCGGTATTTAGTGTCTTTCCGGTGTTTTCCGGTATTCAGTATAAAATGGTGTTTTCCGGTTGTTTTCCGGGTGTTTTCCTGTGTTTTCCGGTATATAGTATGGCCCTTTCAAAATCAACACCCTCACCCATTACTGCCTCAACAATCACGATTCTCCGTCCTACCTTAAAGATTTAATTCATCTATATATTCCTCAACGTTCCATCAGTTCATCAAATCTACAACTTAGAGCACACAAAACAAACACAAAATTTGGAGTGGGAGCCATCTGCCTGCCCCCCCCCCCATAATGCAATAAACTGCCCCTTTCCATTAAACAAAGTTGTTCCGTCTCAAGTTTTAAGAAGAATCTCAAAACACACAATTTTAATGTGGCTTTTAATCAGTGATTTAAATATGTTTACAGTGCTATTAATCGTTAACCTTTTAAACAGAGTTTTACTTTTAAATTTTAAGGAGTGTTTTAAGTGATTTTCAGCATTAATTTTTCGCCACTGAGCAGTTTTACTGAATGTGCCAGTGCTATACAAGATGGATTATTATTATTATCTACAGGGTCCACAAACAAATTGTGAACTGACAAGCGGACGGACGCACGGAAGGATAGGGGCGACGACATAATACGTCCACAGGAAAATGTGGGCGTATAAAAACTATAGCCTCTATCGTCTTCACAGGGTTTTCAGAAAAGGGGGCATAACTCCAAACAAAACGTCGTGGAACCACGATTCTTCACGTCAAATTTGAAAACAATCCGTCAAACTGTAGCTTATATCGTGTTAAAACAAGGTTTTTGGCAAAGGGGTGATAACTCTGGAATAGAAAATCGTGGAAAGCTGAAAACCGATAGGTCTCATCCTCTCGTGATATAATGCTTATAACATACTTATGGAAAACAGCTATTGATTTATTAAGGCGATGTTTCGAAGAGTATTCTCTCAAAGTTTTCAAGCTAATACGTTGAGAGAATACTTTTCGAAACGTCGCTTAAATAAATCAGTAGCTGTTTTCCATAAGTATGTTTATAGTTTATTTATCTGCCCAGTTATTAAAATGACACTTAAAGAATAACGTATGGACGGAGAACAGGGAAATCAATAGGGCCCATCCTCTCACTCTTTCGGAAAGCTGAACATCAACAGGGCTGTTCCTCTCCTCTCATGACCGCAATGTTTTACACCAAATTTGAAAAGAATCCATCAAAAACTCTAGCCTCTATCGCTTTCACAAGCAAATTGTTGACGGACGGAACGACAGACAGGGAGAGGACAATACGCCCACATATTGCTTGTGTTTCATAGTGTCTGGATCCGCTACTAACTGAACTTTCACTAACCACACGCTTTGAATTAAACGTACACAAGAGGTTACTGATTTTGGATGGTGATGTTTATAAGAAAAGTCCGTTACATAACCGAACCGAAATATATATATATTGTCGTCCAGGACTAACGCGTAATGGTCTTTAGCTGTGGGACGAATCGGAGAACCCGAAGAAAACCCAAGGGGAAATTAAAACCACGCCACTTGATTCAATGACGCGTTTAATCATATGACCTTCTACCCCCGCCCCCCTTGTTTTAATAGTTTGCATTTCATAACCAATTCCGAAAGAAGGGGACACCTAAAAAAAAATAACACAAAGAACATTTTAATGCCCAGTAATCCATTTGTTTTTACATATGGAAGACATATTTTAATTTTTTAATCCTGCGCAGATAAATTGGCCTTTTCCCAAGTATAGTACGTTCCAGATTGCCACTGTTTATTGAATTCTCTGCTGTGTTAGCATAGTCTGCTGTTCTTTATAGCCAAAATATATTCACCGCTCAAAATGAATTGTGTATCACAATTATTAAACAAGATACGAGGTGCAATGGTATACGAGGGTCCAGCAGTAGATGTTTCATTTTTTTTTCTTTTGGAAAGAAAACACGTCCGCTCTATCGCTCTATTTGACAAAAATATTACAATTCTGTCAAATTTTCAGTTGAAAATGTTAAAATCTATCTCCGTACAGCTACATCTGAAATACGAATTTAATTGTAAAATAGGGGCATACGAGACATAAATATTTGAAAAACAATCATTAAGATAAGTACCTAACCAAACTGTAAATAATATTTTTGTGTATTTTTACCGTAAATTGACTGGCAGAAAGTTGCCAGTAAAATGACTGTATTTTAACACTGACTTGTAAATTTACATCTAAGTGGTAGATTTAGATTTACAAACAGCATGTGAATTTACAAAGAGTGTAAAATAACTTCGATGTAAATTTACATTGTGCTTGCAGTAAATAGAGAGTGGGGTAAATTTACATTCACTCTAAATTTACACCATGGTTGTAAATTCACCACAAGGTTATCTTACACTCACTGTAAATTTACACTGTGGTTGTAAATTTACCTCAAAGTAACTTCACACTCATTGTAAATTTACGTGGTATTTGTAAATCTAAATCTACCATTTAGGGCCACATTTACAAGTCAGTGTTAAAATACAGTGATTTTACTGGCAACTGTCTGTCAGTCATTTTACGGTAAAAATACAACAGGGTTTATCATCTCAGATATCAAATAATCTCAGCTTCTATCGCGTTAACCAGGTTTTTGGAAAAAGTTGATTAACTTCAGAACGGTAGTTCGTAGAACGCTGAGTATCGATAATAATGGAAATATGCACACTCAACAGTTTATCCGAAAGGATAACTTGGATGTTGAGCAAATTTGATTATGGCTCAAGAAATCAAATCTCTATCGTGTTCACATGCTTTTCTACACACATAATATATCTCTGGCATAGAAAGTCATACAATTCTGAAAATCAACACTTTCCGATTAAAATGATACACATTAAATTTGAAAACCAATAGGGTTTATCCTGTCACAGTTCTGTTGCTGCACACCAAATCGGAAATAAATCCATTGAAAACTGTAGCCTCTATCGCGCCAGCAAAATTTTCTGAGAGGGTGTGTGTGTGTTTGTGTGGGTGTGTGTGTAGGGGGGGGGCAGTATAGGGAAAGGGGGGGGGGGCGTGTTGTCGCAGGGCGCTGAAAATCGATAGAGTTCGTCCTCTCATGACCCCAATTGACCATATTTGAAAACAATGTGTTAAATAATGCATCCTCTATCTTACTAAAGATGCATTATTCAAGATCTAAATCTGACTCTAGTGCAGATATTTCGTTTGGCCTCAAATGTTATATAAATCATTAATTAGCCAATTATTTACATGCCAGGCCCATAAAAAACTCTCAAGAACTTCGGATGGTTTTGATTTTCAACAGATTTAAATACGATTGACAGTTAATGATTTATTTTAAAAATAGATAATCGAGACTTTATTTATTATCTTCACAACGGTAGCAATGACAATCGAGACTACATTGATCTGCAATGGTCGTTAACTCCTCTCAGAATGAATTAATTTAACTAAAACTTTCAACATATCCCCTATTATCTATTTGTTAACTATTATAGCGAGAACTGCCAGTTCTTTATTTAAATCTTACATAATACATCTTTAACGGACGAATTGTTGACAGACGGACATAGGTGACGACATTATACAGATTCAAAGGTTTCGGAGCGCCGGAATTTGACAGGATTAGCCCTCTCATCACCCCAATGTTTCAAACCAATTTTGAAAAGATTATGTTAAAAACTGTAGCCAATTGTTGACGAGCGGACGGAAATGGGCGACACAATACGCGCACACTGAAATGTGGGCATACGAAAAGCTATCAAAATATTGAAATTAAGCATGAAATTAATTACTCAAACCCACGTTACAGATTTTATACAGCTTGAGCCAGTGCCCTGTTCAACTCAAGAGGTGGCCCAAAATTCTCCTAATTATTCCCATTTCACATCTAAGTGAGTCTACAACAAAATAATCTTCATTAATTGTCAGTGGCTTTATATCTGTAGAAAGGTAAAGTAGTGGAGGGAAGGAAGATTCGAACTAAATCAGTAGATTCGGAATCCTTACAAAAATTAGCCCTACCTGTGCGCCATGTGATGTTTATGTAAATAATCAACTCCTTCAACTATCTGTCGAAATAAAATCTTTGATCTGTCTTCCGGTATGGCGCCACGTAGTTTAATATATTCTAACAGATCACCATGCCCGGCATGCTCCATTACTATGAAAATCTGAATAAAATCAAAATTAACAAACGGTAACATATCTAATAGATAACTGTAAACCATCGAGTTATTCTTTATGATGTAGTATAAGCAGTCTATTTTTGAATAATAAAACGGGCTGGGTTGAATTTTAGAGATAGCTCTTAAGTCTTAACAAATCCTAGAATTCTGATAATCTAAATCTACTTGCTTGTCTGTTAATTCTAAAACTTAATAAATTTAGAAGGTAATTTAGGGCACTAACACTTGATAGTGATAGATACGAGATTTTCCTCAATTATTTTCCAATATAACTTATAAGTGCACAACGAAACAAGTGTCGAGGACTGATCTCCGGGAAAAATCGTAAGAAAAGGTTTAAAAATGTTTTTGACTAGCTCCGACTCGGCAAAAATCTAGTTTGAACTCCACATTTTTAAAATTCTGCCATTATGTACCCTTCACTTAGCCCCTGATCGCCGAGCCTAAACTTCTTTTTCTATTTACCGGAACCATAATCAGAAATTAAGATAGAAAGTTAGGAAATAAGTATGGAACACATTACCTATTTAAAATGGCATTAAGAAATGTATGGAATGCACGTATAGGCCTATATGACATTGACATAAGATAAGAGCGCAAATCATATTCAGGTGACTTTATTAATTCTATTAACGGTTGAGCCTCTCTTCAAGTCGTTCGAATCTACAGAAATTACACAATTTTATTGGGGAACAAAAATATTGTTGTCAGCTACTGTGTGTTGAGTAGACGCGTGCTCTTAATCTTGCTCACAAACACTGTTTACCTTATTATTTAGTTCGATAATTTCATGCATCTGGACACAGTTCACATTTTTTATCGAAGCCAAAATTTTTAGTTCACGCGGTAGGAACTTCTCTCTGAAATCTTTCGGAGCCCTCTTTCGGTTGATTATTTTTATGGCAACGCGCTTCTGTAATTTTTCGCTAAATGCCGCCTTAACCTTAGCGTATGATCCTTCTCCGAGCGTTGATCCAAGACTGTAGCCATGTTTCTTAAGTTCTGATTCATCTTCAGACATTACTATTTCTTTTAGAATTTTGTTCATACTGACAGAACCTCACGCAAAACAGGCATGACAAATTTTCGCGCATAAAAGAATCAGCGAAAATGGTTGCTGTGCGACGTCAATGCACTTATGACGTCACAGTCAAGCCATATTATTGGAGAGGAAGTCCCCTTTTCAGTGATAACACTGTTTCTATTCTTGTGTTGACGGTTTTGGTGTATTCGTTGTGTTAATTGTGTCCATGTTGCCTGCTAAGCGAGCCAAGATCGAAATGACCGAGGAATCCGGCAATTTAACCGCTCTACAGACTGAGCTTCAGGTTATGCAGGCTGAAGTGGAACCAGTCGAAGTAAAGAAGAATTACAATCATAGTAACGAACCGGTATCTTACCGACCTACTTACAGAGCTGTGCTAGCAAAAAAGGGCTATCTGGTTAGGCGAACCTTGGGCAGTGGAAGTTACTCTAAAGTTAAATTAGCGTATTGTTTCGGTAAGGACCAAGCAAAGGCCGCTGTAAAGATTGTTGATCGAATAAAGGCCCCCAAAGATTTCCAAACTAAATTCCTACCACGAGAGCTTGACATATGGCCAAAGTTAAACCACCCTCATATTATAACAATGCTAGATTATTTTGATGATGGGAGACGGGTGTATATGATATTAGAATATGCTGAACATGGTGATGTTCTACGGTATATTCAAAAATCTGGAGCGCTTAATGAAGCTTTATCCAAATGTTGGTCTAAACAGCTGTGTGATGCTGTTCGTTATTTACATGACCATAACATAACCCATCGTGATTTGAAATTGGAGAACCTTCTCCTAGATTCAGATTACACAATCAAACTGTGTGATTTTGGTTTCGTGAAAGACGAGTGTATCAACGACTTTAGTAAGACTTACTGTGGTTCCAAGTCTTACGCAGCACCAGAGATTTTAAAGGGGGAGCCATACGACCCTAAAAAATCCGATATGTGGGCCATTGGGGTGGTACTTTATATCTTCATCACGGGGAAAATGCCTTACGATGAAAGTAAAGGAAACGCCGGTGTTTTAGACGAGCAAAGGAAGTTGGATTTTCCGTGGCACAAATACAAAAGGGTCACAGATGACAGTAAAGCGTTGGTGCTATGGTTATTTCAAAACGATTTTAGAAACAGGCCGGATATACATATTGTAATGAACTGCCATTGGCTGAAAACAGCTCTAAAAATAGAAAATATACAACATCTAGCTATAGAAGGTGAAAAACATGGTAAACTACGAAAAAGGGATCACGAAAAAATAAATGAAAAAAGAACTACAAGTGAAGGAGCTAATGCTGAACCAAGCTGAATATATATTGTCTTACTATAATTAGTACATGTACGGGATAGATCTAATATAGATTCAAAAAAGCCTTTGAATTTTGTACATTCATATTTAAATATTTTTGTCTTGCTATAATGGTCCCAAAATTAGTCCACCACTGTCTTGGGTTTAGTTTTTGTATTCATTTTTATAAAAAAAAAAACCCAAAAAACAAAAAACTACATAGGCCTATAAAGTGATTATAAACTTTGGTATTGTTTTTACATTTTTTAAAATAGAAACCAAATTTATACAGATTATCGAAATTAGGAATTTCATCAATTCAAACTGAATAGTTTAACAACATATTTTATAAAAGCATTTATGTATTGAAGTATTATGACACTAATGCATTATATTAAAGGTATTTCAATTTTGTTTGAATTTTACTATTTTAGACATTTATTTTAGTATTTATAAACTGAATTTTGCGGAGAACGTAATAAAATACAAATTTTTTTTATACCACTGCATTTACTGTTTTTTTGTGTATTTTTTTTGTACATTCAACGATAGCAGTTAGACTCTCGCTATTAGGCAGACCACACTTGGGGCACTTATGGGCAGGGTGTGGGGTGGGGGTAGCGCTAGGAAATGTTTGGTTCGGTGGCACATGCTAGAATCGCTCTGACGTAATCATATCTGGGCCATGACATACCATGCATTGACACTTTGTTGAGGGATTTCTAGTTCTATGCGAAAAACAAGCGTCAAAAGGGACTCGCATGCCTTATAAAGGTTACCTACCTAGTTTCATTCGATTCTGTTCGCTAATGAGGGGGGGGGGGTAAACTGACACAACTCCAAGAACGAGAAGATGGTCAAGATTTAGACACCGGCCATGGTGTAAAAAGTTTACTTTAAAATTAAGTTTGACCAAGGAAGTCCCTGTCGACAGAATTAATGTCAATAGGGTTCGTGTTAGCGTATAGGCCTTGACTAACAGCTAAAAACGTTACCGTCGTCTCTGTTGCAATTTCCGATTTATTTTTCATTTTCCTAAATTCATTTAGCGAAATAAATAAAAGAAAAGGACAGATTAATTGATTCTATATATTATGGAAATATATTAATCCGGCTGTGAAATCTAATCCTTGTAAATTGGGACCAGATTAAGGCTGCATTGGACCCTTGATGAAAATCTCACCGGGTGCCTTGCATCAACAGTGAAAAACGGGCATATTTTGATCCCTGTCCGTTACACACACAAGTGCAATTTGTATGTCAGTATGGCACAACATTAAAATTAAATCATAAAAGATTTTTAAAACTAGTTTGGAGGCCCCTGGCTGCATCCCGGCCAGCACCCCGCTTAATCCTGGGCCCTTATTCACGAAAACTTAAATGTCTTAAAATCGATTGTAACCTAAAATTTGACCTTAACTTAAGATAAGTCATATTCACCAAACTCATTTTCCAAAGATTTTAAGTTACAATCGATTTTAAGTTAAGTTAGCTAACACCCTGCCTTAACTTAAAATCACAACAAAATGACTGCCAACTTCATCAGACGTCAGTTGTTTCCTAGGCCTGAAAGAATTATCAGAGACCGAACAAACCCATAAGAATTAATAAATCCTGTAGAAATATATTTTAATTTAAGTAGACCAACCAAGCAGTCGTCGCCCCTGCCGGTGTTACTACAACTTTTGGTAGCCCTGAGATTTTTTTGCAACTGGCAGCTATCAGTTAAATATACTCACAACCTACTGTCAACCGGACCGTCCGCAGGGTGGCAAATGCCCTTAAACAAACCGGATAATACGATTTCCAACCGAACGAGAAGAAGTAGACGTTTCTCGACGTTTTTCAACATTGCAGGTAAGTTGTGAAGTCATGCAGTCAAATAAACTTTATAAGTTATAGATATCTCTTATTAGTAGTGTGTTTAACGAGAAGATAATCATAAATCACGCAAAATTAACTGTCTTTATAAATAAAAAATCGCAAAGCTAATTGTTAAGTCCTCGACGTTTGTTGACATTTTGACATAACCTTGAACTTTACATGATAATACTTCCTAGCGGGAATTAGAATATAACCTAATAAAAATAATATTGAAATAATTTTTTTTGATTCAGTAATAGGCTTACATAAATCCTATCAACTTTTTTTTAATATTTTCAAAATAACTTTTCAGTTTTAGGTTTTCCAAATGTAATTGGCTGTATTGACGGCTGCTTAATTTAAATTAAAACACCAACATTGAATACAAACGAATACATTTGTCGTAAAGGTTATCCTGCACTGAATACCCAGGTATTAAAATGTTAATCATGGAACTTATTTATGCTGTAGATAATTGCCTATGTAATTAAAATTTGGAATTGTGTAAATTTTCTAGAGATTACGAGTACAACAGGCACTGATTGTTGTTGGTCAAGTGTAACCTGCACACTGATATATTTTATTACAGTTTACCTGTCTACCGGACCATCGGTTTTCAAGCATTATAGTGAAGTGGCCTTGCAGTTGCCACGATTCTAGGGTTTTCAATGAATCCTCAGTTAAAACTTATATGGAAAATGGTATGTTGAATATAAGCATGTCCCTCCTAAATACAGCCCAATATAAAAGTGGTTTGAAATCCACTGTAAATTTTAAAACATCCAATAATTCATCGCTATATAGTAAAATTTATTATTTAACTTCGAACACCTGTAATTAATGTGAAATAATAACTACCCATTTATGTACTATTTTACTCTTTCTAAAACATGTCACCATTTAAATTGTATTTAACAATTATATTCTATTTATTGTTATTGACAGGAGACCATGGTGTATTGCTGGGGGATTCAGGTTATGCTAACCGCCGCTGCATACTCACACCATATTTGAATCCGCAGAATGCACCGGAACAACGATACAATTACGGTCATTGCAGTGTTGTGAATGGTCAAACCCACACGTATTCAGATATTTTCATTGGAAGACATTCATAGAAACAAAAGACTTCTTTCATAGGCACATGTTTATTCACCTCCTACCAGGGGAGCTCACTCCCAAAACATACAAGTTATCAAGTCTTACAACAGGCAATATGTAAGGGAGATAAATCATGTATCCTTAGTAGCAGGATACAGACCACAATAATACATGCTTAGAACTAATATATGGCTATACAACATCCCCCCGACTGAAATCAAAAACGCAGTTTTTGAAGTCAAAGTACAACTGGTTGGACAAACTGTGAACTATGATTTTAAGAAAAGCAAAACTAAAACTATGGTACATATTATAACTCAAACAATATTTTTACATATACGATATGGAAGCTATTAAAGTGAACATTCACAATGCTCCGAACCCCATTAGTGTACTAAAACACATGTTGTAGATATCTACAGTGTTTAGGTTGATATACAGCTGGGTTTCTGAATGAACACTACAATAACAGTATTACATGTTAATCAATCGATATTTACTAATGCTACCTGTAACTTGGAGCTTATTATCATGAACAAGGTTATTGACAATGGCAAATAATGTAGGGCAAGAATTTACAGGGACCCAAGAAGACTTATGGCTTGCCTCTGTATGCGGTATGGTAACTAAAACTTGTAGGGAACCACACTTGAACCGTGCTTTCTTTAACTCCATGGTAGACACATTAGAAACATTTTGTAAAACGTGACATTGTTTGGTGAACTGATAATTAGACAATGTCCCAACAGTAGCAAGATGATGGTTATCACCACTATTATGTACATACTGGTGTAAATTAACTGGTTTTGTGATCCTATTATAAGGGATTACAGTCTCATTGAATGAATGTAGTACAATATCATTCTCATCAGTAATTAAACATAAAGGATTAATTTCAGTAAGGGTATGAGCATTATTGGCTGGAACATTACCCAGCTCCTTTTGCAGTTGATCAATATGGGTAATTTTAGTTTGAAAATTAGGCGACCGTACAAAACATGGCTTTAGTCTATTAATAGAATAGACATCCGGAAGCACCCTGCCATCCAATGTGGCAAGAACGTAATGGGTTCGATCGAGTACCTGATGGACAACCAAAGGACCACACCAATCGGCCTTGATTTTTCGTGAATTTGAGGTTAAGCTGGAAGACGAAGGCTTGAGAACATAAACCAGCTGACCCAATCCGTAAACAGGATTCTTACTCAGATTATGAGCAACACTTATGTTTTGTGATTCCTGCTGACGTTTCTGGAGATCCATTATGGTCTTCGACATATGATCAAATCTGTCCTTCAATTGGGAAATATAATCCGAATAGGAGCGACAAATGCCATCAAATTGCCAATTGAGATGAGTAAGATTTTTCGGTTTACGACCAAACACTAATTCGTAAGGACAAAGACTACCTAATCGTGATGAAGAAAAGGAGTTGTATGCATAGCAGCACGTAGACACGTATCTGACCCAATCGGTTCCATATTGATTTAAGCTGACCTTTAAGAAGTCTGAAATTGACCTGATGTGTCGTTCGACTAGAAGGCTACCATGATTGGCAACACTAATCACTTTCTGACTAATACCAAGGGCTGTGCAGAGTGAAGACACTAGTTTTCCAGTGAAACTTGAAGCAGCATCAGATATGATAACTGATGGAGGACCAAATAGGCAAACAACCTTCTGAATTAAAGCTTCGCAAACTGTTTCTGCATCGACAGACTTTGTAGGAACACAAATAACAAAACGTGTTATCTCATCGCATACAACAAGAAGGTGTTTGAAACCAGAAACTGATGTGGGCATAGACTTAAAATCAATGCTTAATTTGCTGAAAACATTATATTCCTCAGGGATTCGAGGATGAAAAACTCTGGCTGTATCAGTTTTGGGCTTGAATTGTTGGCAGGTTGAACATGTATTGACATACTGTGTAATTCGCTGAAACATGTTTGGAAAATAGAATAACTTCCGTAGGGTTAAATAGGTACGAACAACACCTTGATGATTGCATAACTGGCTATCATGATACTGATGGATTAAGCCATTACACATTGATTCCGGAACGGCTAACTGAAGAGTAAAGCGATCATCATCATGTACCAGGAGGCGAAATAAAAGCTGTTCTGCTAAAATATACTCCTCTGACTGTAGTTTTAAACGTTTAGCAGCTTTACGATTGCTAGGCAAGATATCATGTGCCAGATAGTCATAAACTTGTTTGAAATAAGGAGATGTTTCCTGTTCTAAGCGAAGTTTATTCTGATCAAAAGGTAAGTTGTAATCTCTGATTATCTTACGCTTAATAACATTATAGAGTTTGGTCAGTTCAGCTTGCTTTGGAAAATGAGAAGAAACAACCTTTTCACAATTGTGAAGTAGGGGTTTGGGAGGAATACACAAGTCTATCGGAATTGAATCATCGATTCCATCCTCAGGTTTGTCAACAAGACGCTCCTCGGGACGAGTTTCTGTTGTGGATACTACTGGTCTGTGTTTACCCAAATAGGTTGTATTTTGGTGAGTGGGCACGTTAGTCGAAGAAGGGGGCTTTGATGGTTTAGCGGGGTTGATAACCTGGTTGGAAACATTCTTATGTGGGATCTGTGCCTGAGACTGGTTATCAAATGATTCTGAATCTGGGTTGAAATCAGACGTAGGAGTGGTTGGAGGTATATCTTCTTGAGATACTGAAGATGGTATGCAAACAGTTGAGGAAGCTTTAGATTTGGGAAACAGATCTGGGATAGGTATTTGTTGTTCCTTTGCATATCGACGAGTAACAGGTCGATTAACTGGCGAGAGAATGGGAAAAGCAAAGTCTGAAAAGGCAAAGGCTGTGGGGACCACTTGATCAATTTCACAATCATGAGTATCAGTGGAGCTCCTGGACAAAAAATCAGCTAATACCATCTCTGTACCTTTTTTATAACATGTTTGGAAGGAATATTGCGAAAGCTTGATGATAATCCTCTTAAGGCGTTGAGTACAAGGTTCTTTCTTAGAACTGAGAATGTGTACAATGGCAGAATGATCCACGACAGCAGTGAATTCTACTCCTTGGAGAAGGTACTGAAAATGGGTGATGTTTATTAGCAAACCAAACATTTCTAGTTCAGTGACACTGTAATTGGCACATGCTGGAGGTAATTTCTTTGAGTAATAACCTAAGATCCTTTCCTTGCCATTAATGACTTGTGTCAAATATGAGCCAGTTGCAGAACGGCTTGTATCGCTATAGAGAGTAAGATGACCTGTTGCCGTTGGAAGATACAAGACTGGTGGTGTAGTTAACAGAGATTTAACTTTCTGAAAGGCCTCTTCATGTACATTGGACCATGCAAACTTGGACTTTTTTGATGAAATGCTATGGAGAGGTTGCATTACTTCTTGTAATCTAGGAAGAAAATTGGATACGTAGTTTACAGCTCCTATGAATCGACGTACCTCTTTACTGGACTTAGGACGGATGAGATGCTGAATAGACTGACAACGATCCGCTAAAGCCTTCAGAATTACAAGTCCATCATCATTTACCTTTATGACGTGGCCCATATAGACGACCTCACGCCTGAAGAATGAGCATTTACCAGGGGAAATCTTTAAACCATTATCTATCAGGGCTTTGAAGACTGACTGAAGATGCTTACTATGATCCTGGGCATCTTTACTAAAGATAATAATATCATCATGGTGTGCAATGCAGTAATGGCGGCTGTCAGGAACTGCAGATAGGATTTTATCCATTTTTGTCTGGAAAATGGCAGACGAGACACTTAGGCCCTGGGTTAGCCTTTTAAAATAGAAATGTCGACCGCCATGATATGATGAGATTCCAGTATATTGTTGGGCATTAGGGGCAAGGGGCAAAGAGAAAAAGGCAGATTTTAAATCCAAACAACTGAGAACTTTGGGAGAGGCATTACCTATCCGCTGTAATGTTGAAGCCAGTAAAGGGAAGGGATGATTATACCTTTTAATGCGGTTGTTTAAATGACGAAAATCGACGACAACGCGTTTCTCAGTGCTGCCTTTCTTGGGCAATACCAATATCGGAGAGGTATAAGATTGATGACCCTCGGCTATAATACCTTGCTTGACTAATTTGTCAAGTTCTGCATCAATAACTTGTTTATCGCTTTCATTTGTGTGATATGGACGAATATAAAATGGACGCGAATCAGTGACTTCTATATCTACTTCTAAATTTGGACAGTGACCTATCTCGCCGTACAAACTAAAGGCATCCTTATGTTTAGTTAGAAGCTCCAGAAACTCCTCTCTCTGAGTAGGCGACAAGATACAACCGTCAGACAAATTGATAGTCTGCTTAAGAATCTCTAACTCAGGTTTATGAGGTGAAAGAGTACTCTGAGAATGATGAGAAATTTGTTGTGAATGGTGCACAAAATCTGATGAATCACATAAAAAGAGATTGTCAGTGTTAAAATAAAATAAATGTTGAGAAGGTCTAAGATGAAGAGTCTTCTTACCGGGATTAGATATAGGTACGATGGTTTTATTGCGTTGCAATGTTGCTAATATAAACGAGGAAGATGGTGCCTTTGACACTTTCTTAAGAAGAACTTCACGATTCCGGTATATAGATGGCACGTTACCATATAAGGTTACATAACGTGTATGGCCAGGGCGAATATAAACACTGTGGGTCGGAGTAAATGATACTTCCTTAGACTTGCAATGAAATTGATTTGTATCAAATTGTAAAGACCCTTTTAACTCTGACAGGGTTTCTTGACCAAAGATTAAATCAATACCAACCAAATGTGGGGCAATATGAACTTTAACATTAAAACAAGAGCCTTGTATAAAAATTTTAACCATCATGAACGAAAAGCAAGTCAATATTTGACCATTACCCATACGAAAATTTAAACTATTTTCCAACGTATGTACAGAAAGACTTGACAGATATGAAGATGAGTTAATAACAGACTGTGATACTAAAGACTTGGATGCACCACTGTCAAACAAAATAATAACTGATTTCTTATCAGGTAAAACACCTTTACAAAAGTTAGAACGATTTAACTGAACAATAACGTCTTGGTCCGCATTTGCAGAAATGGCTTTTGTTACAAAATTGGAATTGGGGAACATTTGTGGAGCATGATTATCAAATGTTCCCGAATTCAAAAATCCTGACGAGATATGGTAGGACCATTTGGATGGGTAGGCTCGTTCTGTGACAACTGTCGATGAGAAAGATGCTCTTGACGAACGTAACAAAACTGCCAAGTATGGCCAGGATAAAGACAATAATCACAAAATATGACACGTGGTCTGGATGGATGAGGAGATTGAGTTTCAGACCGATGCTTAGAAGGAAATTGTGTTCTATATGATGAACGAGAATTATAAGGATACGGTGATCTATTGCGGAAAGTAGATTGATCCCTAAGAGGTGATTGAGTCCTATAAAATGAACGAGAATTATGTGGTGATTGAGAGCGATGAAACCTAGATTGAGAATTATAAGGATACGGTGATCTATTGCGGAAAGTAGAGTGATCCCTAAGAGGTGATTGAGTCCTATAAAATGAACGAGAATTATGTGGTGATTGAGAGCGATGAGACCTAGATTGAGAAACGTTTCTGTCTGTTGATGGGGATCTATGTAGTCGACGGTCTGACTGGACCTTCCTGACAGAACTATCGGTGTATGGGGAAGGAGTACTCAAATCCAATGTTAAATTTGAGACCTCATCCTGTAATTCAGACATACTGAAGGATACTTCTTTCACTGTTGAAGAGGGAACACTGGAACTGACATCAAAGTATCGCTGGGCCTTAGCAGCAAGGATCTCTACTGGTGTGTCATCAGAACTGACCATGATGACTGACTGCTTACAATTATTAGGTAGAACTGATATAAACTTATCTCGGATTTGAGAAGCATTATAATCCAACTGTGAAGCTAGTTTTGTAATCCTCTCTAGATTATCAATTGGAGAAAGAGAACAGTCATACTGTAAGCTAGAATATTGCGAAAACAAACCCAGAGTAGTCTTGGTAGGAGAAAACTTATTGATAAACTGTTCTTTTAGACTAGCATATGAATCGAAATCACGGTTTTCAACCCATAACCGAGCAGAACCCTTCAGTGACTGTTTAAAAAGGCGAACTACATGTTCCAAATCTCCATCCTCGGGCGATATGTCCGTTTGATATAGATAGTCCTCAAAGCTTAACGTGTGGGCCCTAGCATTGTCCCTATCAATAATATTGCCATCGAATCGATCGATCATTTTCTCCATAATGAATAACTAACTAAAGTTTACGTAAATTGATCAACGTCAAAAGGATGGTAGGGAGCTGAAAGGCAAAAAAATGATTAATCATGTGATTTAAATAGTAATAGTAACAGTATTTACCAATTACATGTATATATATTTAGAAACTTTAACAGTTTCACAAAAATGGAATTACTAGAATGAAAATCCAAAAAAAAATGACCTATCAAAAGTGTTACACTTGATATAAAAATTATCTGACAATATTACTAATTATTAGGTTTGTAAATGTCATAGATGAAAGAAATCGAGGAACCCAATTAATAGTTCAAATGAAAACAATACAAAACTGTCTATTATATATATAATATTTGTTATTTAGCTAGAATTTACAAAAGAACAAATTTTAAAGTCTGTAATCACATGTAGGTTACAGTGAAATTGCAATGAATGTCCTGGCTGGTAAAAAAACAATTGGAACTGTTCTTTGAAATGGACGGCTTCCACAAGTCCTTTACACACTGCTTAAAACGGTCAAACACATATCCAATGGAGGACTGTCAAAGTTAAACAATTCAGTTACAAGCAATGTTGAAAAACTTAGCTAATCACTCAATCAGTTTATCTGTATTAATGGTTATGATCGAGTTGCTGTATACAGGAGATCAACACAAGTTGAAATAAAAGGCCACTGCACTACATTTAAAATGTTACCCCACTCTACTGTAGGTTAGACCTATCTATGGTGGCTATAGTAGGCATACGATACTAAGAATAATGCTGCGACAAATCACAAGTAATAATAAAATCCAATCAGCTAATGTTAGCTAGAGTAAACTATTGTAGTTACTAAGTTTTCAAGTTGATCTTCGAATTAGTCTCAACCACTAATTAGTAGTTTGAAAGTCTGACATTTCTCACACAGAAATCACTGGTACCTAATGGAACACAATTAATCTCAATTCAATCCATGAAAATCGGAGTGAAAATCAGCCATCCAATAAAAATCAGCGTCAAATACTTATATTGGGGAACTTTTTGGCATCTCCACCATGTTGTGAATGGTCAAACCCACACGTATTCAGATATTTTCATTGGAAGACATTCATAGAAACAAAAGACTTCTTTTATAGGCACATGTTTATTCACCTCCTACCAGGGGAGCTCACTCCCAAAACATACAAGTTATCAAGTCTTACAACAGGCAATATGTAAGGGAGATAAATCATGTATCCTTAGTAGCAGGATACAGACCACAATAATACATGCTTAGAACTAATATATGGCTATACAACAGCAGGACCAGAGTAAAAATTGAGCAGAGCTTCGAGATTTTAAAGAATAGGTTTGGGTAAGCTAAATAAAGTCATTTAATGCACAATGTTGGTGTGATACTAACTATAACACTAACAACAGCGGATACTGCAAATTGCTCATTTGGTATGAGAGAGAGAGAGAGAGAGAGAGAGAGAGAGAGCGAGCGAAATGGTATTTAACGTCCACTCGACTCAAACCAGGTCATATGGTTTAATTTTATTTCAATAATTCTTTTGAATGTAGGGGTCTACCGGTGGGCCCAGAGAAAACTACTGAGGTTGGATGGGCGACCATACTAATTGTCATGTACAAGCTGGGAATCCAAACCATGTCACTTGACTCAATGACAGATATATTGATTCAACGTGCACGCGTTAACCATTCGGACACACACACACACGCACACACACCCACACACACACACACACACACACACACACACAGACAGGGGCGACGGCAATATACGTCCACATTATGAAACGACTACATTCGAGCGAATTAGTTCATCGATGAGCCTTACGCACAACGTGATCCCGCTTTGGCACATGGTATGTGACGTAATACACAATATTTTGAACACGTGATCCAGTAAAACACGTAAATTTGAATCATGCGCACACGACCTGGTTGCGGTGGATGGAAAAAATCTTTGACGTCATATATAGATAGACCGCCTTTTCGCCAGAATCCCGTGGTACAGACGCTGTGACTTCCGTTCAGGGAAGAAACCAATATGGCTGCCATCTGTACGACAAATTTTGCACAAGGGAGACATTCCTCACAACACCGACCATGGTGAATTGACGAAATCTCGCGTTGATAAACGAGATGATGGTTTATATTTAGTGACACTGACACGCACCGCGTGCTAGGGTTAGGTTTAAGAATTTGGGGGAGAGCTTAAGTCTCCACATAAGCACTGACCTAGGATGATGAAAAGTTAGTTCGTGATATTTCCTAGTTTTATTAAAAATACATACAATACATTAGATTTATATACAAAAGCGATTTCACTGTTTTTGATGTTGGTGGCGCTGATGGTCTTCCTTGGATGATACTTCTGGTATTTTTGTTCCTGAAGAAGAAAAAGAATAAATAAATACTACGGATTGGATTTTCTAAAAAATCGTGTTTGTTCCACATCACCGGGTTAGGGCTAGGGATTCTTATATCTAGTTAATTTTATTTACTAACGGTTAGGGATCGGATTTGATAAACGAGATGATGGTTTATTTTTAGTGACACTGACACGCACCGCGTGCTAGGGTTAGGTTTAAGAATTTGGGGGAGAGGTTAAGTCTCCACATAAGCACTGACCTAGGATGACGAAAAGTAAGTTCGTGATATTTGCTAGTTTTATTAAAAATACATACAATACATTAGATTTATATACAAAAGCGATTTCACTGTTTTATTTGGTGTTGGTGGCGCTGATGATCTTCCTTGGATGATACTTCTGGTATTTTTGTTTCTGAAGAAAAAAAAGAATAAATTTGAGGCTCTCGGGGGAGAGCCACATTAATGTGTTTCCTACTACGGATTGGATTTTCTAAAAAATCGTGTTTGTTCCACAT